GTTTGGGTCAGAATCCTGGGTAAACAGACTTTGGTGCCTGCACATAAACACGAAGAAGTTCCATTTCCGGCTTCTCTTTTAAAAGCAAGAATGCCTGAGATTGGTGGGTCCGCATGCACTTGGGAACAGCAACCCACTGCTGCCGCTTAGAGGGGCCAAGGGGACTCCAGTCCCCACAGTCCCCGCCCCTACAGGGCCACACCCACCCCCTTTACCCTTTCATGTCCTCTTCTGACACCTGCCCATCTGAGACAGACACCCTGCTTTGTACTCTCGGAGCCAAGCTTCCAGGAGGACAGGGGACAGTCAGTCTCTCTCTGTCTCTGTCTCCCTCTTTCTCTCCTTCAGCCTCTTCAAAGGCTTTCCCTCCTGCCACCCCACCCTGACCCAGCACCTCACCTGCCTTTAGAGAAGGCCCGTGGGCTTCTCGCCCTCTTCCCTGCAGCTCCAGTTCCCCAGGCCCTGGCCATGACCATCTGGGAGGCCGACAAGGAGCAGAGGAGGGAACAGCCACATGGTCCTGCCCCTGGCTCCTGTCCTCTCTGCCCACAGTCCTGTGAGCCCTAAATACTTTTCCCCAGGCCCAGAAGACTCAAGACTTTCCTTGACAGGATGCCTTTAAACTCTTCATCTGCTCTTTTTCATCCTTTTTTTCCCCCAGAGGTTTTTGCCTTAAGGCGCATGCACATGCCAGAGAGAGAGAGACAGAGACAGCAAGAGGGAAAGTGAGAAGTCCCCTCCTGAGGGGAATGGTCATGTTTCAATCCCTTCTCCTCCATTCTCCTCCTGGGATCTTGGGCACACATGCACATGGGCCCAGCATGATTTTCAACCACCAAGTCTGAAACTCGAATCATGGTTGACCATGTGGGAATCCAGCAATGCAACCACTGTGCCATCTGCTGGTCCCCAATTTCATCCTTCTTCATTTCAAGAAGTCAGTGAAGAGGGGATTGAGGTGGTTTCTGGGTCCACCTCACCGGAGGAAAGGCAGAGGTATGCAGAGCCCACAGGGCACGGCTGCCCACCCTGGGCCAGCTCCTGAGAGTGCGGAAGGAATGAGGCTTCCCGTTCTCTAAGGCTCCCCGCAGACTCAGCTCCCCTCAGACTCAGGGCCAGACATGACAGGTCCTCCTCCCGAGGTTACACTGTCCCGGTTAAAAGGGGGAAGTCAGAGACAATAGCAAACAGCATCTCTACTTCTGGGGGTGAGGGGAATAGTCTTATTATTTATTTATTTGTTTGTTTGTTTGTTTGTTTTTAGAGGTTTTTGCCTTAAGGTGCATGTACTCACTGGCGAGAGGGACAGATAGACACGGTGAAAGGGAAAGTGAGAAATCATGCCCCCCCTCCCGGGAGTATAGCCACTCCACAATCCCTTCTCTTCCATTCTCCTCTTGGGATTTCAGGCATGTACACACACACTCCTGGCATGGTTTTCAAGCCTCTTGGTCTAGGGTTCAAACCACAGTCAGCCATGTGGGATCTAGTGCCTTAACCTCCACACCACCCACTGCTAGCCCTGGTTTGTCTATGTATTTGTGCTGAGTTCATATTATCTTGCTAATCTGGGGGAAATGAATGTGAGATCCAGCTCATCCCTGCAGGCCACTTCCTCCCTCCCTCCCTTCCCCTCCCCGTGTGGCCTCCCTGTGGTACTGCACGCGGCATTCTCGTCTCCTCATGATTGTGGCCGTTGGATGAAACTCAGGGCTCAGTCCTCTCTCAGATCGAATCCCACCAGATTGCAAATAAAAATGACTAATTAGAAACACAGGTTTGAACTGAGCGTGTGCCAGTTGAATCCCATCTTCTCCCACTGGACAGATCGAGGGCAGAGCCATGCTCCTCCCAAGGCCCACACCCTGGTGAATGCACACTCCCCTTGGCTGGTGGTTGCCAAGCCACAAATTGCTGAGGTCCCGGACGCCGCCCCACTCTCTGTCCTCTCTCTGGGCGTCACATCAGCTGACTCTGCCCACCTGGCGTCTTCTTGAATGTGACCTCCTCCCCAACCCATTGGCCACTGCTCCACTCGGAATGTCACCTTCTGTGCAGACAACCATCTGCTGCTGGTCCCTCTGCCCCCCGTTTCCCCCTCAGGGTTAGACTACTAAAACATCTTGGAAAAAGAACCCGGTGGGCGGAATTACTCTACCTGGTGTTAGGACCACATGGGGCAACAGTAATCCAGACGTGTGCGTGGAAGGACAGGCACGTGGATGGAGGACGGGCGTGTGGCTCTGTCCTTGGTCCTGAAGTCGTCCCAGGCAGAAGTCCCTCTCCCTGCGCTCCCTAAACCCCTCCCCGGCCTCCGTCATGCAGCACACAGGAGGTGTCTTCCAACACAGGCACGCCCCACCGATTTTTGGCAAAGGAGCAATAGCACTTCAGTGAATAAAGAATAGTCTTCTTCACAGTTGCTGTAGAAACAACGGGCATCCACAGGCTTAAAAAACGAATGCCTTACTGAGCCACACGGCTTACTCAACGAGGACCATGAATTTCAATGGGAAGCATTAAAACTTGGGGGCAGCAGGTGGCATGATGGTTCAGGCACTGGGTTCCCACATAGCCAGCCACAGTTCAAGTCCCAGGCCTGGTGGCTTAAAGGTCATGCCAGGCACGTGTACATGTATGCTCCAAATCCCGAGAGGTGAATGGAGGAGAAAGGGTTGCATCCTGGCCATCTCCTCTGGGTGTGTGTATGTGGGAGGGTTCTCCCTTTCCCTCTCTCTGCCTCCCTCTGGCAAGTGCACATGCCCTATGACAAAAACCTAAAAAATCATTTAAAAGAAAACATAGGAACAAATACTAGGCCTCTAAACTCGGTGAAGATTCCTTAAACATGACATCAAAAATCACCATTTGTTCTCTTTTAATGTTTCAGAGGGCAGGTGCACTTTCCAGAGGGCGGGGAGAAAGCAGTCCCAGTGGGGACGTCCAGCCCACTGTCACCTTCTCCGCCATAGCTACATGCGGGTAGCCGGCATCTCTCTCAAGCCCCTGGGGCCAAGATTTGAACCACAGTGGGCCACATGGAATCCAGCTCCCTGAACAACCAGGCCATGGGGCCAACTCCATAATCCTTTTTTTTTTTTTAAGAAGTTTTTGCCTTAGGGCACATGTACTCACTGGAGACTGAGACAGTGAGAGGAAAAGTGAGAAATCATCCCCCCTGGGGCTGTGCTACGCCACAATCCCTTCTCCTCTGTTCTCCTCCCAGAATCTTGGACACACATGCACAAGTGCCTGGCATGATTCCTAAGCCACCAGGTCTGGGGCTCAAACCACAGTCGGCTATGTGGAAGTTCAGCCACAACTGCTTCGCCATGTGTTGTTACCCCAATTCTTTTTATTTTTAATCTAACAAATTGTCCTTCATCAAAATAAGGGACTTGGGACTTCTGCATTGTGAAGGGTCCCGTGAGGAGGATGTGAAGACAAGCTGCAGCCTGAGATAGAGTGTCGCCGGGCCAGACGCAGCGGTGCGGGTGTGAGGGTGCATCTGTGCAGGCCAGGGGCCAGGGAGGCCTGATTCAGTTATGAGACCTGAACATGCCGGCTGCGGTGGGGTGTGCTGCCATCCTAGCTAACTGGGAGGCTGGGCAGGAGGATCGCAGCAACAGGGCACTGCCAAAAACCTCTCTCTCTCTCTCTCTCTCTCTCTCTCTCTGTCTGTCTTTCATTAGGAAAGAAAAGTGTTGGAGCAGCCAGTGGCATGGTGATTAAGGCTGGTGGACTTCACGTGGCTGAATACGTGACTCAAAATCATGTGTGCCCAAAACCCTGAGAGGAGAATGGAGGGGTGGGACAGCAGTGTGGCCTCTCCCCTCGGGGTGCTTTCTCACTTTCTCTGTCTCCAGCAAGCATGCGCTTCCTGTAACAACAAAAAAATTGCATTAAAACAAGTTTCAAAGAGTTGATAAAGGAGTCAGCCAGTGACATGGTGGTTAAGGTGGCTGGGACCCACAGGGCTGACTGTGTGGTTCAAGTTCTGGACCCAGGGGCTGGAAAAACACGCCAAGCACATGTGCGTGTGTGCTCAAAATCCTGAGAGGAGAGGTGGGGAAGGAAGGATTGCAGCATGGCCGTCCCTCCCAGGGGGTGCTTTCTCACTTTCCATCTGTCTCTCTCTCTCTGTCCAGCAGGCACACATGACCTGGGGCACATTTTAAAAAGCTTTTTAAATTTAATTTTATTCATTGTCATTATTTTATTTTTTTAGTTTCTTTTTCTGAAGTTGACCAGAGAGAGACAGAGAGATGGAAGGAAAGAGAAAGCAAGCTGCCAGGTCTGGGACTCAAACAGCAGTCAGCCATGTGGGAGTCCAGCCACCTTAACTGCCACCCCAGTTGCCGGCCCCTTAAAAAGTTGTTTACAAAGTATTGACAAAGAACTTGTATCTAGCATACGTGAGGAGCTCTCATGCTTTTGAGGGTACATATCTATATATGCTTTTGAGACTATATTTAAAAGTATACATTATATATACACTTTTGAGAGTTCTTCATATATAAATTGTATATATATATATATGAAAATAAGGTGGAAAATAAGCACACTAAAATATGCTCAACAAATCGTTAGAGAAATGCAAGTTAAAACCACACAGATTTATTGCCGCACACCTATCAGAGCATCTGAAATTTTAAAACACTGACAATAGCAAGTGCTGACAAAGATACAAAGAAACCGGATTTCTCATACATTGCTGAGGAAGACGTAAGACACTGTAGCCACTCTGGAAAGAGCATGGCAGTTCCTTACGAAGCTCAGCGTACACTCATCACATGACGCGTCCATGACTGGCATATGTCCCAGAGAAATAAAAATGCATATTCACGCTAAAAAACCCTATGCACAAATGTTCATAGAAGCTTTATTCATAATGGCAAAATACATGGGGAAAAGCAGATATTCTTTTCAGCAACTAAATGGCAAAATAAACAGTAATATAGCATACGATGGAATACTACTCAGCAATGAAAAAGGAACAAACTATTGATAAGTGTGACAATGTGTATGGATCTCCAGGGCATTGTGAGCATGCAACTTCCAGAGAATTCCAGAGACTTATTGCCCTCAGATGATGGCCATGAGGGCAGAGAGCCAGGGGACCTAGGTGGGAGAAAGGAAGACCTGAAACAAGGCTCAGGAATTTTACTCCCTCTCCAAGCTGAGGACTCCAAATCAGGGTCCTCTGAGGTCCAGATCCTCCTCTGGGGCCCAGGAGGAGGATCTGGATAAATTCCTTTCACACCCATTCACAGCTGCCTCCTTGCCCTGGGCTCCAGAGTCCAAAGCTCTCCCTGGTCCAGTCTGAAGGGCTGTGTCCCTGCACGGGGCATTCTGGGGACGGGCACTGCAGGGCCTCCCTGTGCGACTGCCTCTACCTGCCCCCAGGAGCCCTCTGAGGCCTGTTCACCCAGAGGACAGCACTGAGCATGATGAGGAGCAAGGGCAGCTTCAGGCAGACCAGGAGCACGAAGTGGCTGCCGAACCTACAGGACACAGCGACAGGAAATTAGGCCTCTCTTCAGGGAGACGCCCCAGGACCTGCCTCCCCCCCACCTCTCCCTGTGCCCTGACTCTAGAGCCCAAATCATTCAGGATCAAACTGGAACAGACCCACGCCAGGGCAGCCCCTCCCTGAGATAGCCCCTCCACTGTAACCTCCTCCCTCAGTGTGGACGAGCCATGGGGGTCTCATTAAGGAGACGTGCAGGGGGAGGAGAGGGAGGGATCCAGGCAGTCCCAGCTTTCTAGATGCATGCTCTGGAGCCCCCCTCGGTCTTCTCCACGGACCATTCATTGTTATTTTTTATTTATTCCCTTTGAGAGACAGGCAGAGAGAGAGCGGCCAGTCCACAGGTCTTCCCGTGCCTCAGTCCCATCCCAGCCTTCCAGCCAGGCGGGCCCTTGGTGAGCCCACCATGAATGGGGTGCTCAGGCCGCCCTGGGTTCCACGCCCAGCCTCCCTCGTGGGCCCAGCCTCACACCACAACACCCTACCATGGGCACCACCAAGGCGGAGCCTCGACTGACCCCTGGAAGCCACCCTTCGCCCTCACTTTGACCCCTCGTCCCTCGTCCCTCCCCGGAGGTCTGCAGCAGCACAGCCCTGTCTGGGGCTCTGCAGGAGACGGAGAAGCACAGAGGCAAACTCCGGCCTGGGTCTGTCTGTCTCCCCACAGACAGTCACGCTCCCATCCCCGACAGCGAGACCCCAGCCAGCAAAGACCTTTGAAGGCGTCTCAGACCAGACCCAAGTCCAGAACCAGGTGGGGAAGCAGAGTGGGAGGGGCTGACAGCCCGCAGCCTCGGCCTCAGCCGGGTCCCTGCAGGTGTCCCACTCGGCAGCCCCTGGAGCGAGAGCGAGACTCGGGACCACAGCTGGAGAAGCCCAGTGACAGGCAGCGCTCAGGACACCTGTGCTCCCCCAGCTCCCGCCCAGAGGTCCCAAAACACCACTGGCCTCCCAGCCCCCGACCCCATGGTCTTCAGGCCTCGTGCCCTTACCCCAGGAAGAGGATCGGCAGCCCCTCGCTACCAAGGCTCTGCGAGGTGGGAGGCACGGGCGGTAGCGTGGTGGTTGTCGTGGTTGTAGTAGCTACGGTTGTGGTTGCTGTTGGAGACAAAAGCACGTCATTCGGGCCCTGGGCCCAGCCCTGCGCTAAGCGCAAGACCCCTGCACAGAGGAGGCTTGAGCACACCCTGGCCAGACCCAGGCCGCCCCCAGAGGGAGCCCCTCAGGCACCAGAGGAGCCTCTGCCAGAAGTGGCACCAGCATTGCCACTAATAAGTCCAGGTCTTTCTCTCTAGCCCAAGTCTGACCGTGCCTGGGGTGAAGGCGGGGGTCTCGCAGGGGCTTCCCCAGCCTGGTGCAGAGCCCCCAAGAGAGGACCCTGGAGGAAGGCTGCTCAGCCTGTGGCCCAGAGAGCCTCCTGGAGACCATCAGAGGGGCTCTGAGCTCTCTGCACGTGGAAATCTCTGAGGCCATTTAACTCACCGCGAGGAAGGGGATGTGTCGTCACTTGACTTTTCTCAAGACCTCGGAGCCCCGACGACTGGCATCACCTCTACTCCTACCCCACTCTCCCCCAGCGTGTGATCCCCAAAGCAGTTGGCCTCCGCTCTCCCAGAGCACCCACACTGGACACTCAGCTTCATCCAGAGACCACCTGCGACCCCTCTGCAGATGTGACCGTCCCTGCCCTGACACACAGAGGGGCTAACTCCAGTGGCAGGTGGTGGCACGGGGTGGGACCCTACCAGGTGCAAGAGCGGCACCAAGGAGGAAGCCCACCTGGCCCGCCTTCCAGCCGGAGAGAGACGAAGAGTGGGTGGCACATGGAGGTCCTGGGGAACCGCAGGGCGTGGGACGCGAGCGGAGAAGGCAGTAGGAGAGGCCAGAGGAGAGGGGACGAGGAGGGTGGTCGAGGGCAGGAGAAATGGTTGAACACACAGAGAGTTTGGCTCAGGGGCTGGAGAGGCCTGGGGCCATGGGGTGAGAAACCAGCCTGGGATGATTGTTCTGGAACAGGAAAAGGACACCACAGGCTCCTCCCCACGCCACCGACACTGAGGACAAGACTCGGTCTCCAGTGTTCAGACCCTGCCTTTGTCCCCGTGGCCAGTCTGTCTTAACCTCTGCAGCCCGGGCAAGACGAGCGCTCACCTGGGGAAACTAACACCATGACCGCCACCGAAGGGTCACGTGACCACTCGTCGAAGATCCATATCGTCTGAATTCGGCACCAGTAGTGCCCCGCGTCATCGGCTCGCAGGTCCTCCATGGTCACGGTGAAGGTGAGGCTGCTGGCCTGGTCTCTGATGGACACAGGGCCGTTCCTCCTCTCTCGCTCCTCTCCCCCGGTCTCCACGATGTGCGTGCAGGAGGTGTCGTGCTGTCCTCGGCACCAGTATTTGTTGTACCCCTTGTACTTCGCGTCATACCGACACTGCACACTCAGGGAGCCCCCCACGGTGCCGCTCACAGAGCCGGGGCCCGTCAGGGACAGGCAGCCTGGAAAACACAAGCCCGCATGAGTCTCGGCCTCCACGCAGAGGGCCCGGGCAGTGCTTCTGCCTGACACTGGGGAGGCGTGGCCAGGGCGATGGGTCAGTTCCTGACATGGGGAGCCTGGAGGGATTCCTGGGCCCACAACCTGTGCCCGAGTCGGACACTGCAACTAGAAAGACGAGTAGCCTCGTGCCCCTCGTGGGAGCAGAAACCCAGAGTACCTGCTCAGGGCCCCACCCCTCGGAGACAAGCAGTCAGACGGAAGCTGGAGGTGGGAGCAGAGAGCAGCTGGCCATCCTGCCCCCTGCCCCCTGCCCCAGCCCTGGGCCTCTGGCAGGAGTGAGGTTTGATCATCGATTAATACAAAAACACTCTCCTTTGGGTGAGCGCTCTGCATTCTGGGCCTTCTGCAACCCAGATTTGTTCTCGGCTTCCAGGGACCAGCAGATGGCACAGTGGTTACGTCGCTGGACTCCTTCACGGCCGACCACAGTTGGAGTCTTGGACCAGGTGGCTTGAAAATCATGTCAGGGGGGCCAGCAGGTGACGTGGTGGTTAAGGGCGCTGGACTCCCACATGGTCGACCATGGTTCAAGTCCCAGACCTGGCAGCTTGCTTTCTTGCTTTCCCTCTCTGTCTCTCTCTGGTCAAATTAAAATAAATGAATGAATAAATAAAATTCAATAATTCTTTTAAAAGAAAGAAAAAAAGAAAGAGAAAGAAAGAAAGAGAAAGAAAGAAGGAAGGAAGGAAGGAAGGAAGGAAGGAAGGAAGAAAGAAAGAAAGAAAGAAAAAGAAAGAGAGAAAAAGAGGAAGAGAGGAAGAGAAAAGAAAAGGAAAGGAAATCATGTCAGGTAAGTGTGCGTGCGTGCCCAAGATCCCCGGAAAAGAATGGAGAAGAAGGGATTTCGGCGTGGCCACCCCCTGAGGGGTGATTTCTCACTTTCCTTCTCACTATCTCTCTCTCTCTCTCTCTTGAAAATTCCGCCATAAATTCAAATGATCTAATTTTTCCAATCAGAGTTTGTAACTCTAGATGGGTATGATGGGTGGAGGGGGATGCTAGTAAAAAGAAATTAAATTAGATTACATTAAATTAATTTTTTAAAAAAGGATAGCTAAGCCAGAAGCTGGGATAAAGGAGAACTGAAACTTCTGTCTTTATAAGTAATTAGAAGACTTTTTTTTTTGAGAGAGAGTTTCACTATAGGATGCGTGCACTCACTAGACAGAGAGAGACATAGAGACAGAAAGCAAGAAATCACCCCCCAGGGGGGATGGCCACGCTGCAATCCCTTCTCCTCCATTCTCCTCTCGGAATCTTGGGCACGCACGCACACGCGCCTGGTGTGAGTTTTAAGCCACCAGGTCCGGGACGCAAACCGCAGTCGATTACGTGGGAGTCCAGCGACATAGCCATTATGCTAACTGCTGGTTCCCAGTAATTAGAAGATTTTATCTGGACTCATGAGAACTCTCAGCTGTAAATGTACCTTAGATAAAAAGGTGACCCCGTGAGTGGAGACCAACCAGTTTTACACAAAGTGATGGGAAGAAGTTTCCATCTTCAAGTTAATTCACCCAGGTTAGAGTATTTAGGTAATTTTATCAGACTTAAGAAAGCCAACTTAAACAAGCAGCAACATGCTGGTATACCAGTTGTCAGGAAAAAGCCCTGCTCTGTATTGCTTGCTGATTCCTGTGGTGTAAATACTCTCACTGTGACTGATTCCACACCGTCACTGACTGCGGAATAGGAGAGACAGTCTCATAACCAGCTCTTGTGAGCTGGAAGACACTGGCTCCAGCCACCACTTTCTCATACTCCCTAGAGAAGAACACGTTCATGGAAGAAAAACTATAGGGACTTGATTGCCGCTTCCAGGAACCAGGGCCACTCACTCTTTTTTATTTTTTATTTTTTTGAGAGGTTTTCGCTATAGGGCACGTGCGCTCGCCAGACAGACAGAGAGAGACATAGAGACAGAAAGCGAGAAATCACCCCCCAGGGGGGATGTCATGCCGCAATCCCTTCTCCTCCATTCTCCTCTCGGGATCTTGGGCATGCACGCACACATGCCCAGCGTGAGTTTGAAGCCACCGGGTCCAGGACGTGAACCACGGTCGACTACGTGGGAGTCCAGTGACGTAGCCGTTACGCTAACTGCTGGTTCCCAGGGCCACTCACTCTTGACAGAGTGGAGGAGACAGATCCGGACTTCATTTTTAGTCCTTCTACTTCACTGCATTGCTATGGGCTTTCTGGGGGCCCACGCACCAATTACGGGGATTCACGAACACCCACTGCACTCTCTAGTCTGTCCACCACCATCTTCGGCATCATCATTTAAGTCGTTCTGAATACCTTCCGCATAGAATGAGATGCAGCTCTTGTAAATGTCTTTCTGAATCTAAGGTTTAGATTATGAGGGTCTTAAGACACCTCAGAGATCACAAAGGTCACTATCATTACTGATGAGAGAGCTGCATTTTGGTTCATGTTACCAGCCTTCCTCCTTTAAAGCCCTGTCTTGGGAACCAGCAGTTAGCGTAATGGCTACGTCGCTGGACTCCCATGTAGTCGACCACAGTTCACGTCCTGGACCCGGTGGCTTAAACTCACGCCGGGCACGTGTGCGTGTGTGCCCAAGATCCCGAGAGGAGAATGGAGGAGAAGGGATTGCGGCGTGACCATCCCCCCTGGGGGGTGATTTCTCACTTTCTGTCTCTATGTCTCTCTCTCTGTCTGTCTGGCGAGCGCACGCGCCCTATAGCAAAAAATCTATCCAAAAAAATAAATAAATGAATAAAGCCCTGTCTTATTACACCTGCCACTCTGGAAAGAGTCTTGTCATTACACGGGGCCATTTCTATGTTTCATGAGGGAACCCAACCATAACTCTCATTCTGCAAAGACAAAGAATGGCTTTTAATTTTTATCCTGGATTTATTTTCCACAAAAAAGTGCTTTCCTGTATTTTTGCAATTCAAATGTCTTTTTAAGAGTTTCTTTCCTGACAGTCCAAATTTTAGGGGACAGTTTCATTTACTTGCTTACACTACACCTTGTACCAAGAAGGATTTAGAGGAGATTTTGAGGATGGCACTTTAGACTCTTTTAACTCTCACAAACTTTTCCAACTCCTTTAAACTGAGCTTTGGCAAAACAGAACTATCGCTAATTCCTAAACTTCCCATGGACTTTTCATTGCCACGCTTTTGCATAAGCTATTCCTTTTCCACAGGGTCAACTCATTCATCCTTCAGGGCTGACATGCAATAAAGCCTAGGTGGAGTCTCCCGTTCCCCAAGAGCAAAGTTGGGGATTTTTTTGTTTTGAGAGGTTTTTGCTATAGGGCATATGCGCTCACCAGAAAGACAGAGAGAGAGACAGAGAGACAGAAAGTGAGAAATCACCCCCGGGGGGAGGGGGAATGACCACACCACAATCCTTTCTCCTCTATTCTCCTCTCGGGATCTAGGGCACACACACACACACATGTGCCCAGTGTGAGTTTAAGCCTCCGAGTCTGGGACCCGAACCATGGTTGGCTACATGCGAGTCCAGACACATAGCCATTATGTTAACTGCTGGTCCCGGGATCTTTGTTGTATACTCCCACCACCATGTGAACAAATCTCTCCTGTAGCAAGTTCCACATTGTGCTGTAGTTACTTGACTCCCTCATGTCCCACGAGTCCTTGGGATGCAGAATTTAGTCTTAATTACAACACACAGAACAGTCCTGGCTCATAGTTGATGCTTAGTAAGTGTTGGCAAGACCCCAGGTGAGTGTTCAGGTATGTACAAGGATATGCAGGTGGAGGAGCGGACACGTCCATCCATTTCTGTGACGCTTTCATCTCTAGCTGGAACCCAGGACAGCCCTTCTACCTGCTGCCCTGCCCCTGCAATACCAGGCTCCCAAAGCCCAGCCCCACTTACCTGGGAGACAGAGAAGGAGCAGAGCACGGGACAGCGTCATGATCCTGTCTCCCTGGCTGCTGTCCCAGGTCCCAGCTGAAATTCAGGGATGCGTCCCAGAGCAGAAGCACCCACCTCCCACTTGCTCACATTGTTTGTGTTTCTCTCTCATCTACTTCCTTTTTCATCATTTAGCTGCTTCCTAATTTTAAGCATTAGCAAAAGGGAGGAGTGGCAAGAGACCCTTCTGAGAACGGGCCGAGAGCGAGAAAGGAAACGTGCTGATTTTCCCCTCATTTTATGCAAATCCTACATTAGGGCCACCCTCTGGGCTTTCATCCAAGTCGGTACCAATACCCGAAACTTCTCACAGACGGACCCTTCATCCCCTGCCTCCGTCACTTCCTCCCCTCTGGGGCTCTTTCTTGGTAGTCTGCACTGCCCCTTCTCTGTAGCTGCCTGCTTTGGGTTCGATAAAAACACTCCCCACATAAAGAGCTCCGCCTGCTTCTCTCGGCCATGACCTCCCTGCTGGTGGCTGTGCAGCTCCTCTGACCCGGTATCCCTCCTGGGCTCCAGACTCAACTTCCCCACTTCCCCACTTCCCAGGGGGAAGCTCCACTTGGCTGCACACTATTGACCTAATTCACTGTCGGGATCATGACTGGAGTGTAGACTCTGGGATCACACAGACTCCAGTCCCATTTTCATGGTCTAATGACCACCGCCCTGGAGTATGTGGCTGAGTCATACTCATCCTCATTGCAGAGGACTCCGTCATCTGTAAAACAGAGCAAGGTGACGAGTCTCTCTTAGGGTTGCCATCGGAAATGAGTTCATGTAAATAAAGAGCTTGTTATTGTGCCAGGAACGCAGGGACTCCGCAGTAAATGGTAAACGTCTTTGAAATTGTCCTGGACCGTCGGAATAGCTTTCCATCCAGACTCTCGGCCGGCTAGGCACGCTCTCCCCCCCCCCCCCGTTTACACAGGAGCACGTTCTCTGCGCCCCAGCCATCCAGCGGTGACCTCCTCGGTACTTCCAGTCTGCTCTGTCCCGGGAGTCGGTACCATAACCTTCACTGTGTTCTACAGCTCTCTACTTCAAACTTCATTTTCTTTACTCATGTTAAAGTGTGCATGCACACGTGAGGCCATCAGAGGGGGGAGAGAGGTGAGTGCCCTCCACGGAGCCTGGGCACACCACAATCCCATTCCTCCGGTCTTCAGCCCATCGGACCCTAGGCACTCACACATGGCCTGGCACGTCGCAGGCTGACGGGGTCGGGATTTACACAGCGGTCACCACATGACCCAGCTTCTCTTGAGCAGCACATTACCACGTGTAAGAAGCCAGCCCCAGGAGCCAGCAGATGGTGTAGTGGTTACGCTGGACTCCCACATGGCCTACCATGGTTCGAGTCCCAGACCAGGTGGCTTACAACTCACGCCAGACACATGTGTTTATGTGCCCTAGATCCTAGGAGGAGAAAGGATTGCAGCATGGCCATCCCCTGGGAAGAGATTTCTCACTTTGTGTCTCTCTGTCTCTCCAACATGTGCATATACCCTAAGGCAAAAAACAAATCTCTCCCCAGAAAAATAAAGAAAGAAGTCAACTCTGTTTCAGACTTTTGCTGCAGGAGCATAGCTTCTCTCTTCCAGCATATCTGATGAAATATGGCATCCAGGATCTAGCCCTGAAAAGGACAACAAAACACCCAGACCCTGGTCCCATGTACACTATTAACCACACACCTGGGGACCCAGAATGAGGAGAGCTGACGGAACCCACACGTACCCCTGAGTCATTTTTTAAACAGAGACAGTGGCTGGGGGCTTCAGTTCTCTCCTCCCAGAGGCAAATCTCTAGCCTCCTCAGCCCTGCTTGTGTGGTATTTTCTTCTCCTTCCTCCCGGACCCACCAGTCTGTGAGTCGTTTATGAAGTAAAGGAAATCAGACTAGAACAGGCCCAGGCCCCAGCGTATGCAAAGATAAGTGCTGATGATTGAAAACAATGCAAAATACGAGTGCAGACACATTTTATTGTAATTCACAAAGAAAGCTCAAATTCCAGACAATACTGTAGATCCACCTGGTACTGAGACTCCCCTCTGGCTCCAAACACAGAACTCTCTATAAAACGCAACAACAGGTTTTAATACGTAACTGGTCAAAGTCAAGAAGGGGAAATCTCCGAAACCAGGCGTGTAAACAGAACCGAAAGCCACGGCTCCGAACAGGATCTGATACCTGAGGCTAACAGGACAAGTAGAAATGAATTTGGGCTCTAGGAGGAAACAGGTTGTTATGAAAACCACCATCAGGGACAGAAGCCAAGCAGGGGCAGAGCTCCCTGCCACAAGCAGCAATCCAGCAGGGGTCATTATGCTTGTCAGCCTAATTAAGGGCAGAAAGTGAAATAGAAGTGATTTATCTGAGCCAGTGTTCTGTGAGCAAAGGAGATAGGACACTGAGCACATAGGCAGGGCAAAGACCCAAGATGGAGTCACAGTGGCTCAGTTGTCACAGCCCAAAGCTGGCTGCGTTGAGACTCACAGCAGCTGTAGGTGAGGGCAACAGTATCTACTCAGTAACTGTGTTCTAACAAGAACCACACAGAGATGGGACCAGCAGTTAGCGTAATGGCTACGTCACTGGACTCCCACATAGTCGACTGCGGTTCGCGTCCCGGACCGGGTGGCTTAAAACTCACGCCAGGCGCATGTGCGTGTGTGCCCAAGATCCCAAGAGGAGAATGGAGGAGAAGGGACTGCGGCGTGGCCATCCCCCCTGGGGGGTGATTTCTCGTTTTCTGTCTCTCTGTTTCTCTGTCTGTCTGGTGAGCGCACGCGCCCTATAGCAAAAACCTCTCAAAAAAAAAAAAAAAAAAAGAAAAGAAAGAAAGAACCACACAGAGAACAGGATGATCTGCTGACCCCACAAAGGATAGGGTAATGAATCACTCACTAGTTACTACATAACCATTCTCTAAAGCCAGCCCATTGTTCAAACTACTAAATAAAGCCCCTCACCTCCAGCTCCTTCCACTATATTGGAAGCTTTTTCTCCTTCCCTAATAAACTCTGCTTTGCTCTCCTTTCTGTGTCCACTTCTCTAATTCTTCAGGAGTGTAGGACAAGAACCAAGACAGGTGTTGGGTCTGATCATGCAGCACTCCTACCTTAGCACGCTGGTTTATCAAGGTCCAAACGGCCTGGAGACTGGTCTCAAGGCAAAAAGAGGGTCCAGATAACGTCCAGCTGGCCCAGTTAGGGGCCTGGAGGCTTCCACCATCCACCCGTCCTCCTCATCTGGTGGCCTGTGGAGGTAGCACCCTTCTGGGCTCAATCTGGCTTCCCCACTTGGCATAGCCATGCCTGACTCCAGAGAAAGCAGGTAGCTTTCAGCTGAGGACGTCCCCTGACCCTCCAAGCAGCACCTCTTACCTGTTCCTCCAGCCACAGGTGGGACTCCCTGCCTGGTGTCCCCAGGCCCCCTCCCAGAGCCCTGCTGTGCTCCTCAGAACGCCCCCAACTCCACCGCCCCTCAAACTCAGTATAACCAGAGCCTAACCTCCCCCTCGACCTCCCACCTGACACCACCCACGAAGCAGCAGCCTGTGTCTATTCCTTTGCTCCTGGAGTTCCAGCCGGGAACTTTCGCTTCCTGTTCTGAGGGCTGACATGAGAGCTGCTGTTCCTCCTACCCCCCTAAACTGCCCTGAGCCCAGGAAAGGTCCTCCCTGACGGAGAACAGAAACAGCAGGGCCAGAGACCTCTTGCTAGCTTTACGTTTGCTTCTGCTATAACTGGAAGAATCGTAGAGAATCGAAAAGGGGAGAAATTCGCGAAGAAAGCGGGCAGCGCTGTGATATTTAATATTTAATAGCTCCAAAAAGATGCCCCTAAATTAGCCAATGTCCAGTGTTCCTGCCGGGAGTGGGGAAAGGCCCTGCGTCCTGAGCACACGAGCTGGAGGGGCGGTGCTTCCCAGGACCTCTGTCTGCAGAGGGCGCCCGCCGCTGTCTGAGGGAGCCCGCCCTGGAAAGCCGAGGCCTGCAGCTGAGAGCGGGGAGGGCAAGTGGGCAGGCAGGTGGGCAGCCTGGACGTCTGAGGAGGAGAAAGGACAAAGGCCCCCAGCCCCCTCACCCCCTCAGCCTGAGGCTGGCATCTTCCCAGCGCAGAGGGGACATGGTCTGCCGGGGTCCCAACACCTGGAACATCATCACTGCCCACATTGGGCTGAGGACCCTGAGCTATCCACCCATGTAGACCAGGGCGGGAACGAGACCCCAGGTCCCAGCCACAGGGGCTGCCACACGCTCCGCCCCACGCAGGGTCTAGCTGCTCAGATTCACCAGCTCTGCCCACTTGCAGACACAGGGCTGGGGTCCAGAGCTGTGCTCAGCCAGCCTGAAGAGGCGGGGTCTCTGCCGGGGACTGCTGGCCTTGGTCCATCATCAGCCCTAAGGGCAGAGAGTGTGACTGGACCCTCCCACGAGCTCATTCATTCACAGATTCAATGAGTCTCTCTTAAGCACCTACATGTGCCAGCCCACCCAGAAACCAGGGGGCTTAGAGGTGGGCCAGGAGACAAGTCCCCAGGCCCTCCAGGCTCACATTTCAGTGAGGGAGTCAGACGGCACCCTGCACCCTGACGGCTCTTCAGCAGCAGCTGCACGGCTTACTGTGGGCTGTTAGCGCCCTTCTAAGCGCTAGTGCGCGCCCATTCATTTCATCTTCCACGTGTTCAAACTACGTGCGGGTCTCAATATCTTTCTGCACCAAAATAAACTCATACTGCGATTCCGTTCTCCCAGGAGCTTTCTGAAGTCCTTTCGTATCCATCTGCAGGCACCGTATCAAAGTCCAGCCGACGAGCGGCCTGAACACTGCCATCGATTTTCTCCTGAGTCTGGGCTTCTGGGACCAAGCGTCTACAGAGCTGGCTTTTTCAGAGGCCTGTCTTCTTGGTGTGTAGACGTCTGACTTCTCCCTGTGTCCCCACACGATTGTTCCTCTGGGCATCGCTGTCCTTATCTCCTGCTCCTAGAAAGACCCCATCTTGTCGGATCAGGGCCCACCCCAGTGACCTCGCTTGAACTTAATTACTTAAATCCAGTCACATACAGAGACACTCGGGGCTAGGACATCAACATACATACTTCGGGGGACACAGCTCGACCCC